GCGATAGCCGTATCTAAAGCCTAAGAATATTAAGAATAAAGAAGAGGTAGCGTAAAAACTAAAAGATAGCCCGTACGCTTAGCTAAAGGCTAATTATAAAGAATAAATTTAAGGCTATAATAATAGATCTTAAAGTAAGTATATAAACGCTTATATTTTAGCCCTAAGGCTACTTCGAGGGTTATACTAAACTATTAAGATTACTAAAAGACTTACTAGCGGCTAGATTACGAGCCTTAAACTACGTAAATTATTACGTAGGCTTTATCCTTAAGTAGATAACTATTTTACTACTTTACTAACTACCGTATAAACCTAGATTTACGCCGAGTTTAAAGCTTAAATTATTATAAGTCTTCCCCTAATAATATTATTAAACCCCCCCTCTAGTACCTCTAGGTTCTATAAGTAGCGCCGCTTATCCCTATTTTATACTATATTAACGTCCGTACGCTACCTACGAACGAGTCTAGCCTACCGCTATATAGGTTAGGTAAGGGAAGTAGTAGTTAGTTAGTCGGCTAATCTAGCTACAACTTTAATTCTTCTAGAGAGTATAATTTTTATCTTACTAAGACTCTCGTACAGATACTTATTTACTCTAAAATATAACTTTTAGAGATTACTATAGCTAATTTATCCTACTATTATAGAAAATTAAGGAGAGTATACGGACTATAAGATCTAGTATAAATATCTCGTTCGACTATACTAGCCGTAATAACTACTATATTCTCGTAGTTATCGCTTATTATATAAACTTAAGTAGTTAGCTTTATATAGTTCCTCTTACTACTAGGCCTATTACTAGTAAAAAGAGTAAATAAACTACTTCTACCCTATAAGATATATTCTTCCGATTCGATATATTATTAAACCTTAGCCTCTTTATAGCTAATAGGGAGCGAGTTAACGATATTATATTACGTATTATTACTAACTAACTTAGCTTTACGGCCGAAGAAAAACGGATCTCGTACTATAGCTATCGTATCGCTAATATAGCGAAAGTAGAGCTTAAAGATATCGGTATAAAACGACTTATAAATATTATTACTTTAGCTTCTAAAGGTACTATTAATACCGTAACTATTAGTAAATACGGTATCTTAGTTAAGACTATTACTTTTATAGTTAATATTACTAAATCTTCTAAAGCTAAAGCCGAATATATAGCTATATTACGCTAATATAACGACCTAGCGTACAATAAAAGCCTTAAAGATAATAATATTATATAACTTAGTTTTACTAAAAAACTAGTTCTTTTTAGTAGTATTAGATAGAACTATATTTATAACTATTTATATTATATCCGTAAGTATATTAATATAGTTTCTCTATAGTAAATCCGGAAGGATATACTAGATTACCTCCGCTTTACTCGTAAGGATTAGGACTATATTAAAGCCCTTATTAAGTTATATAACCCTCTTATAGAGATAATAAAGATAACTAAGGGTAACTTATCCAATAGTACGTATAGTATACTTTAGGAGACTTATACTATAACCGAGTTTTTACTATAGGAATTTAACCGTTTAGAAGCTAAATTTAAGCCTAAATTACGCTTTAAAGATATTATTAACTCTATAGTTATATACCGCGAGAAGCTTAAGGAATATAAGGGTAATCTAGATACTAATATAGCCTACTTTAGGTTAGTTATTCTATATCTAGGGTTAAAGATAAAGTTTCTTAATAGGGTTTATATATTACCGTCTTAAGTAAGGTAGTTATCTAGCTAGAAACGGTAGTTTAATACCTACTAGCTATACTATCGTAGCTATAAGGTAGCTAGACTTCTATAGATCTATAGCGATATTATTAAGTCTATTCTATCTTCGCCCTTAAGAGCGAACTTATTACTAGTTATATTATCTCTAAAACCCTTATCTTTTAAGCGATTCCTTTATTCTTTATCGCTATATAGCGATTATAATATAAGTAGCTCTACTACTTAAGATATATACCTTAATAAGCTATTACGCTATCTCGCTATACTAGTTAAGCTAAATTATAATCTATTAGTATAGTAGAACGCTTATTAGACCGATTTCCCTATACTCTTAAAGATAGCTTATAACTACTTATCTTACTCTATAATAAGTAGTAAAGCCGAGCGTATATTTAGCCGTATAAATCTACTTATTACTAATAACCGTAGACTACTAGGCCCTAACTCCGTAGAAAGCGAAGTATTATTATATAAATAGTAGTTATATACCTATATTCGTATTAATAAATATAACCTATTATAGGTTTTAAGTTAAATAACTTTAAGTAAGTAAGCGTAAATTACTTCCTAAATATAACGCTAAGTCTGTTAGGGTACCCTTACTTTATATCCTTATTACTAACCCTATACTTACTTAATTAATAAGCCGTCTATACGGATCGAATTACTATTACTAGTTCTATTTTTCTTATATATTACTAGTTTATTTCTCTATTATTATTATAGTTAAGTATAGTAGTAGAATATTATTAGCTTAAAACTATAAGTACGGTACTAGAAGTTATCTTTATTCCTTATAAGCTAGGGTCTAAAGTCTATACTTATATTATTACTTTCTTCTAACCTTATTCTCTCTACTAATCTTTAATAGATCTTTATAATTTTTTTTATAATCTCTTTATAGTAGCTTATTATATATTATTACTCTTTCTTATATACCTTACTTATATCGATATAGTAATATTATAGTAGGTTTATAAATCTACTATAGTATATCTACTTTTTAGCCTAGCGTATTATAATTAAGTTTAATAACTTTTTTAATACTACCTTAATTTATAAGTTATTTATACAAGTAAAACTAGCGCGATTAAGCGTATAATATATAAAATATATTATCTTAATTAGGCTAGTATAGGAGATATCTATATAGGGGTATAGTTAGCCGTAATACTAAAATTTAGATAATATAGCCCGTACGCAACGTTAAGAATATCGAAATCCTACTATAAATCTAACTATTAACGGCGATATTAGCTACTAACTATACTAAGACTAGGTTTTACGTAATCTAAGTATATAGCGTAGTACCTTAGCTACTTATTACCTCCGTAAACTTAATACTATTATTATAGTTATCTCGATATTATTATAACAACTATAATTAGCTTTATTTATCCGATAAATAAAGCTAAGTATTATACGTTATCGGAAGTTTAAAAGCTTCATCGGCCGATGATTGGAGACCTTGGTTCACATACCTTCCACTCGGCGTGTAGAAGAAAGTTTGTTTGTCGGATTCCTAATGCTTTATTCTACGATCATTTCGGCGCTATGCTTCGCAAAGACCCGTGTCATTCGCTCGTTACTGTGAGGCCGCGACTCTCTTTATTCAATCGTAGGTTCGTAGACATGGTCATCTCTTATCAAAATCGCCGCAGTCGCCTGGTATGGATTTGCCGGGGCGATGGCTGTCTCTTAGCGGGACGGCCTCTTCGAGCTAAATTCAGCCACAGCCCATGGCAAAAGTAAGAGGCTCTGTAGAAGCACCCTACTCTATGCACACCCGACCATCGACGGATTGACAGCGCCATCGACACGACACCGATCCAGTCCCACTTGTGCATTACCTACGCTCAGAACATAAGGACCAAGGAATCAAATTTTTTCCCGAGGAAAAACGCCGTCAATTGACCAATGCGCAACTCCATAAGGCTATCGTCATCGTCGTTGAACATACCTATACCATCAAAATTCTGGTAAAGGGGCTGGTATACAGCTTATGAACTCGCGAATGCCAAAAGATTGTAAAGACGTCGTAATAAATCGTCGGACACGTGCCTCGCTACCACTTCGTCAGTGAGAAGGCATGTTGGTGCAAACTGACCGATTGACGGCATCTTTTCTCACACCGATAGGGGCACATACTGCCATTGGACATCTTGTACTGCGTCCATCATTGTGCCTTGCTCTAGCGGCAGCCCTCAACATGAAGCTGGTACCAATCAAGCGAGAAAGACCGGATGGCATGCAAGCCTCGGAACTGTTGGGTAGCCTGGGCCGTGTCCAGAAGATATCTCCTCACAAGCTCGATGAGCTTCCTTCGCAGATAAACTTGTTAGCGCCCAGTCTTTATGCTCTTCCTCAAAGACTTTACTCAGAATCATCTCCTCGACTCTATATAGATCGCCCTTTGAGAAGATAAGTGTGGATTCATGAGGAGTTATGGGTCCTGGCAGGGATGTGGAAACTCTGCTCTTTCGTACAAAGGGGGAATGGTAGATACATTCATCCGCACGATAGAACAATACACAATGCATTAACTCAGAGATCTCTTTTACTATTTCATACTTATTTCATTTTATACAATCAATTGATTGAAGCCCAATCAACAATAAGACTTCCATCCGTTCTCTTACGCATACTCCTTTCATACGGTACTGTGGCAGCCCAAGACGATTAGGCAGACCGATCCACTCAATCGCTTCACCTACCCAGCTGCAGCAGGACCAAAATACAACACAGATCAGATAGTGTATTGGTCCAATCCCAACGGGACCGTCGGCCGGATTCAGCCCATAACCTGGGTTGCCAACTTCACCGTAGATCTGTCACTTTGGCTGGAGGGCGCTCAAGGAAATCCTCGCGACCTCAGCGGTAAGATCGAAACTCGGCTCTTGTCAGATATGGATACGATCTAGGCGTGGTTCGAGTTTTAATACGGGTTGCTAAGATTCTGACAATTATGAAAGAATAGCCTAAGTACAATGTAGCTCAAATATTGTTATTAGATAGCGTATCTTAAACATATGGATCTTGGTATATTCGTCTTCTAAAAGACTAGTCTCATGAAATCTCTCAAATATTCTATTTATGATTCGTCGGATTTTGCAATCTATTTTGAGCTTGGCGTTGGTATTTGTCAACGTTTCAGCCTCTTGTGTAGTGCGCTGCCTACTCGCATCGATTGTGCTCCATACTGTCTGCCCACAAAGATTACAGCTATATAATCACATCATCTAGGCATGGTACTTCAAGGAAAGCCTCTATAGCTCAGTTGGTAGAGCGCGGCACTAGTACTGCATAGCCATGCCGAGGTCTTCAGTTCAACTCTGAATGGAGGCAAGTTCCTTTTTGCTGTTTTTATCCATTCACACCTGTGAACATCGTGTCTTTTCTAGTCGTGGATCGCATGTTTTTGGTGCGAGTAGATTTTGCACGAAGATGTCAAAATGATGTTTTCGCCTCGAAGTGTGGGGACTTTTTTTTTGCGGAGGCTGCAATCGGGTAGAGTATGGGAACCGGTGATGGGAAAACGATGGTGCTTAGTGCGCAGATCGATATCGAGATCTGGCTGGGAATAATGTTGGAATGATCCTTTTCTGGAATATTACATTGTCTCTTCGGTAGCAGTGTTGAGTCATGTAAAATTGATGGGAAGAGGATACAAGGTTTCGTGACTTAAGAAACGAACGAGGAAATAAGGGACGTAGATTCGGAACGCTGATGGTAGTAAGAGAGAATTTAATGCTCTGCTTCCCGGCAAAGCTACAACGCCTAGATCGATGATGATATTTGACCAAAGCCGTGCGAGCTCATTGAAGTCCAGAATCATAACTAATCAACCTCCCAGAGGAAAATCCAACATAACTATGCATCAAGCGAGGAAGCTTCCTTCAATTGAGAATATACCCGCCGTCAACGACGAGACTTGCCCCCTGTATAAAACTCGCTTTTTGCGAGCACAGGAACAAAGCACAATCAGCCACTTCCTCAGGCCTTCCCATGCGCTTCATCGGGGCGATTTCAACACTTGCTTGCAACATACTTGCGACCCGTGGATCGGTATTGGTCATTGGCGTATCGATGATCCCTGGACATATACAGTTTATGCGAATTCCATGTTCTGCGTAATCGATGGCGTCTCCTCGAGTCATGGCCATCACGGCAGCTTTCGATGCTGAATATGCGGCTGAAAAAATTGTGTCAGTCCTGGAATCCCGATGCACCTTGATCCGGCTGTAATACTTACTGCATCGTGGGCGCCCAACGATTCCGAGCTGACTGGCAATGTTGACGATCGCTCCTCTTGCTGGTGGTCTTCTTGCATCGCCGAATGGATCGGGAAGTGGCTGTTGCTTGAGCATAGCTCTTAATTCCGCTCTGGATGAGAGCCAGCATCCGCGATAGTTGATATCATTGATGCGATCGAATTCCGGTAAAGAAGTGTTGGTCGAAGATTGGTTGTTTCCTAGGATCCCGGCACAATTTACCTGTCGGCATCAGCACCTCAGACTGAAAATTGGTGGAGGCCATCCAAACCGCATAGTCTATTCTCCCAGTCTCCGAGATCACGCTGTTGATGAATGCGTTGACGAAGCGCTCATCTGCGATATCACCAGCTGCTGTAAGCACAACGACATCCGCATTGATGACCGCAATCTCCTCTCTCGTCTGCTCAAGTTTGCTTGCATTGATATCCGTGATAGCGATACATTTACATCCGCTTATCGCAAAGGCCTTTGCAACAGCAGCTCCGATTCCTGGCCAAGACGTCAATAATCGCAGCCCAGCGAAGACCCTGCCAGCTCAAAAGTTGGGGCTCCCACGTTGAAACTTACCAGACCCAGCGGCGCCGGTGACAAGCGCGACGCCAGGGAACTCGTTGCCGTTACTCAAGGTTGTGGAAGAAAGTGACATGTTGCTTGGAGTTCCGAAGGTTTCTGAAAAGTTATCCCAATGCATCAGATATATGTGATGATCGGCAAGGCGTGCAGGGTCGAAATCATTGGCCGCAACGATAGGAGGACCAAGGATTTTGTGCTTCCAGAGAGAGAAATACTGGGGATCTGCCTCCTGATAGCCGGAGTGAAATCTATTAATAGGGTCATAAGCCTCCTGAGGTGTGAGAAACCACAAAGTCAAGTGAGATCAGCCACGTTCGCATTGGCGTTCTTCGTGCACCGATTTGCCGAACCAATATCTCAATGTATGGGAAGAGGGAACGGAAGTCATTTAGAACATACGTAGGACTTCTTCAGGATGGTGGAAGGGTAGAGAGAGCTTCTGAAGCTAAGCAATACCAAGACGAGTTCACCAAGATAAGGTAAATCGCCCGCTCAGGCACAGCATGAGGCTATAAATTTCGCCCAGGCCGCCCCCGCCTACGGCTCCGACTCGCGCCCAGCTTCGCCTTGTTCCCATGAATCAATCATCCGCATCGGACACTTTGCCGATGCCTATCTACAGTCCATGCGTTTGCATGCACCCGAATAGAACTACGCCTCGGCTGAGGGAGAAATTGAATCATTGTGGCAGGTCTTCGCTGGTGGGAGGCAAGGTCACTCAGCGTAATCACAAGTAGGCAGCTATTATCAATATTCTTATAACAGACCTATCACAGTGCCTCGTCATTGCCCTCCAAGACCTGAGGAGACTTATCTGGAGTCCAGGTTTCAATCAAGCGGCCTCGATCGCTCGTGACCGGTTGTGTCGGACGCCAGCTATCATCAACTTCACCCGCATTATCACAGTATCGACGATTATACCGAGTCAAACATATTCTCTACCAGACACTTGACCTTCATAGCTACTTGCCTTAAAATTTCGCAAGCACGAGAACAGGCTCAATCATGTCCGACCATCATTCACTACAGCCCCAAATCATAAAGCACCATATGTCCCGTTCGAAAATTGTACAGGAATGCGCATCGACAATGACTCTCGCTATCATCTAGCCAGCTGGCCCTGAACTTTTCTAGCAAGTCTTGTATCTGCCCAATGTAGTCCCTCTCCCCTGGGTTTTGTACTTGAACCACCTTCCTCCAGCTATCCGGATCGCTCAATCGGGTGCTTCGAATGGCGTCAAGGATTTCATCTTTGGTCTCCACAGCAGCGATTGGTCCGTTGGAATAGTCGGCAAGTAGAGATTGTGAGCGCAACTGGGCGGCTTCGACGATGTTCCACTTATTCGACTTCTTGCTGCGATGCTGGGCCATCAAAACCTGAACGGTCTGTCGATTTTCGTGATCTGCACTTGAGCTGTTCGTTTGCTAATATGAAGCAGGTTAGTAACTTGGATCAATTGCTCGTCGTGGGATTCCAGATATCGCGCGCTGACTAAGATCTCTCGACGCCGGGCCGAGACCAATAATATTTTGGCAATACTTACGAATGACATCGCCAGAGGTTTGTCGATCTCAACACAGATTTGAGGATGAAATAAATATTCGAGGCAGTGGCAAGAGAGCAAGTCAAGAGAATGTGATGACATACCTGATGTCGTGACTGGAGCTTGTTCTTCACAAAAGCGCCTTCACGGTGTTCCCGCTCTCGCAATTCTGACCGCAAATGTGGTACCAAATTCTCGTACTTGACGTCAGAATCCTGTCTACTTACCAGATTTTTGATCTTCAGATCTGCCCGTCCACCTGCGATAGGATCTTGTTTGAGAACCACAGCCCAGCCATGCTGTTCGTCGCGGTATTGGTGTAATATCTCTTCGATAGTATCGCCATCGACTGCGAGCTCCGCGCTAATGTCGTTCGCCCACAATTCGGCCATCACTTTTAGACCAGTTGAGCGCATGATGCTAGCATCGACGGAAACAATGAGAACGTCGCAGCGGCGTACTTTCCACGCTCCAGCAAGCTCCTCCTCCTCTGTATTGGGGGACCTTTTCAAAAATGTATTCGATTTTCCGACACTCTGATGGAAGCGAGACATCAGCGTTACCAGACGATCCCAGGCTAAATTGAAGCCGACAGCGTGGCACCCTGTGAACTGGCCGTGAACTTTAGGTTTGTGCTCCTCAATGAGACGATCGTATCTACCATGAACAATCAGTTGATGTTCTCAAAAACGCCATCGATTTAGAAAGCTGAAAAACATATCTGTCTTAACAATTTTGACCGCAACTTAGATCTCGGAGCTCGCCAGAAGCTAGCTGATCTCCCTGGATCCCACGTTGGGCACAAGTATGTTGAAAGAGTCGTGTAGAAAAGGATTGGATTGACACACCTTCCACCAGCTGCTAGCACATCGCGCTTCTTCTTGTCGAACAGACATTGAAACAGCACACCTCCAGTATACAGCTTTTCATTGATGCTGCTCAATGGACAGATAAATACTTTTCGTCGGACTCCCAGCAATTTCAGATACTTGATAATGCCCTGAAGATGTTTGAAGATAGCGCGAGTGCGATCGAGGCAATTCGACCCCTCGAAAATCTCGGAAATCTTTGCAAAGGCTTTGTCTGGGCTGTCTCGGAATTCGAAGCGCGCCAGATCATCTAGTGAGGTCGAAGACACAGCGATGGTAGGGGAGCGCAGCTCGTTTCGTAACTTTGCAAACGTGCAATCGCGGAGATTTAGTCTACTGAGCAGTTCCTTGACCGCTGGTCGCTGTGGAATGCTTATCCGGCAAAACTCCATGATCAAATCCAGCAAGTCTGCGTGATTGAGATGGAAGCACATTTGCGTCGACAAGAAAGCAGGAAACTCGTCGATCACCTCGTCCAGGACTTTGATGACTTCAGCTTCCTTCAGGGCGAGATCAAGGGTATCGAGGGACACAATGTCGAAGTCTGCTTCCCCAGTAGACCGAGGCGCTCCTCCACTGAAAGTATTGCGGAAGACGTGACCGAAAGCAAAAATCTTGTTCGCTGCAGGGTATTTGCGAGCGATTGCACGCGCGTTGGGCATGATCAAATCGTAGGGCAGCTGAACAAGAGCTCCGGATGAATCTAGAAGCTGTACGACATCGTTGTTGGGATAGTAAGTCGAACGCGGTAGCAGATGTGCACGATGCGTTTCAATGGCGCCATGCCGGCGGAAAATCAGTGATAACCGTTCCTTCACCAAGTTTTGAAATAGCAAGGTGTTGGCGTCTGCATCGTGTACTCCTGTTGGATCACCCAGATCCCAGGTGTAATCTTTGATCTGTTTACTCGGGGTTTGTGAAAACAAAGCGGACATGATTTGTAAGTAGTAGGGAGAATCGGGATCCGACAAACCATTCAATGCATGCCGTATGGTTTCATCCTCTAACTTGACGGGTACTTTTCCAGATTGCAACAGCTCTGAGCTCGATGGTCGTTCGCTAGGTCGGTGGCTGATCAAGGAATC